ACGGTCTGACTACTGCGGAAGCAAAGTCGAGACATGAGAAGTACGGCAACAACGATCTGGGCGACGATGGAGGTGTATCACCAGGCAAGATTCTGCTAAGGCAGGTCGCCAACGCAATGACATTGGTATGTTACCTCAATGAGCACACAATGTAACAATCCTAACAAATCCCAGATCTTGATCGCTGCAATGGCTGTGTCCTTCGCTATTCAATCGTGGATTGAGGGTGGTGTAGTAACCGCCATCATTCTGCTCAACGTTATCATCGGTTTCGTCCAAGAGTTCAATGCCGAAAAGACAATGGACTCGCTCCGATCACTCTCCTCGCCAACAGCTACCGCTGCACGAGACGGAAAGACTGTTACTGTGCCAACCATTGAGGTTGTTCCCGGTGATTTGATTGAGCTAAAGACAGGTGACACTGTCCCTGCTGACATCCGGTACGTTGAATTGCGCTAAACTAGTTTGTACGTCACTGACTCGCATCCAGTATCATCGAAGCCCTAAACTTTGAAACCGACGAGGCTCTACTTACTGGCGAATCCCTCCCAGTCAACAAAGATGGCGATGCCGTTTTCGACGAGGACACCGGCCCTGGTGACCGCCTCAATGTCGCCTACAGCTCCTCGACCGTTACCAAGGGACGCGCCCGTGGTGTCGTCTTTGCTACTGGAATGTACACTGAGATCGGTTCCATCGCCATGTCTCTTCGACAGAAGGGTTCCCGCGTCCGCGAAGTCAAGCGCAAGCCTGATGGCAAAGCCAAACCTCATCGCTACGCCCAGGCATGGTCTTTGACTGCTGCCGATGCCGTCGGCCACTTCCTTGGTGTCAACGTCGGTACTCCCCTGCAGAAGAAGCTCGCTCGTCTCGCCATCCTCCTTTTCGGTGTCGCCGTCGTCTGCGCAATCATCGTTTTGGCCGCCAACAGCTTCTCCAACAACAGCGAGGTCATCATCTACGCCGTAGCCACTGGTCTCAGTATGATTCCCGCCTCCCTTACCGTCGTCTTGACCATCACAATGGCCGCCGGCACAAAGCGCATGGTGCAACGTCACGTCATTGTTCGCAACCTGAAGTCGCTCGAGGCTCTTGGTGGTGTCACTGATATTTGCTCCGACAAGACTGGTACTCTCACACAAGGAAAGATGGTTGCAAAGAAGGCATGGATCCCTGCTAAGGGCACATACTCCGTTGGCCAGTCCGACGAGCCACACAACCCCACTGTTGGCGCCCTGATGTTCAACCCCAAACAGCCACGCCACATCGACCCTGATGTTGACGAGAAGACAGAGACATGGGAGGAGCTTCTACAGGACAACGAGCACCTGGTCGACTACCTCAAGGTTGCTTCGCTCGCCAACTTGGCCCATGTTCATCAGACTGACGAAGGTCAATGGAACGCACGAGGTGACCCAACTGAGATCGCTATCCAAGTCTTTGCCTCTCGCTTCAAGTGGAACCGTCTCGAACACACCGGTGGTGATACACCTGCCTGGAAGCAGCTCGCCGAGTTCCCCTTCGACTCCGATGTCAAGAAGATGTCCGTTATCTTTGAGGAAACCGCCAGTTCTAAGAAATACGTATTCACCAAGGGTGCTGTCGAGCGTGTCATTTACTCCTGCACTCGCGTATTCAACGATGAGAGCGAATCTGGTGTTGACCTTGACGACGACTACCGCGAAGAGATCTTGGCTAACATGGAGTCCTTGGCTTCCATGGGTCTGCGTGTTTTGGCGCTCGCAAGTAAGGAGTACGATGGCCCATCACCTGAGAAGGGTCAGGACCTTGACCGCGAGAGCATCGAGAATGGTTTGATCTTCCGCGGCCTTGTTGGACTGTACGACCCACCCCGCCCCGAGACTGCCGGCTCCGTTCGCCAGTGCCAGAAGGCTGGTATCGAAGTCCACATGCTCACTGGTGATCACCCTGGTACCGCTCGCGCAATCGCCATTGAAGTCGGTATTGTGCCATCAAACATGAACACTCTTCCCAAGGAAACCGCCGATGCCATGGTCATGACTGCATCGCAGTTCGACAAGCTCTCCGACGACGAAATCGACGCTCTTCCCCTACTTCCTCTTGTCATTGCTCGATGCGCCCCGAACACCAAGGTCCGCATGATCGACGCCCTTCACCGACGCAAGGCCTTCACTGGTATGACTGGTGACGGTGTGAACGACTCCCCGTCCCTTAAGCGCTCAGATGTCGGTATTGGTATGGGAACTGGATCTGATGTTGCCAAGGACGCTTCCGACATTGTTTTGACTGATGACAACTTCGCCTCTATCCTGAACGCTATCGAGGAGGGTCGCCGCATGTTCGACAATATCCAAAAGTTCATTCTCCATTTGCTTGCCCAAAACATCGCGCAAGCATGCGTTCTGCTCATTGGTCTCGCATTCAAGGATGAGAGTGGACTCTCGGTCTTCCCAGTGTCTCCTGTCGAAGTCATGTGGATCATCATGATTACCTCCTCTCTCCCCGACATGGGTCTCGGTTTCGAGGTCGCCGCACCAGACATCCTCACTCGCCCGCCTCAAAATGTAAGTTCACTCCTGTTTGATCGTCTCTTTGGACACATGCTAACAAATTGCAGCTCAAGCGCGGTGTCTTCACCATCGAGGTCATTCTCGACATGTTCGTTTACGGTCTCTGGATTGCCGCCCTCTGTCTCGGCGCGTTCTCCCTGGTCATGTTTGGCTTCGGTGATGGCAACCTCGGAAACGGCTGCAATGAATCGTTCAACGACACTTGCGACACCGTCTTCCGCGCTCGTGCGACCACCTTTGCCTGCCTTACTTGGTTCTCCGTCTTCCTGGCATGGCAAATGTTGGACATGCGCCGTTCATTCTTCATGATGCAGCCCAACTCCAACAAGTACTTCACGCAATGGGCCATTGACGTCTGGCGCAACAAGTTCCTGTTCTTCTCCATCATCTTCGCTTTTGTCACCATCTTCCCCGTTCTGTATATTCCTGTCATCAACGACACCGTCTTCAGGCACAAGGGTATCAGCTGGGAATGGGGAATTGTATTCGTCGCTACATTCCTGTTCTTCCTCGGCATTGAGTCGTGGAAGTGGGGCAAGCGCGTGTACTTCAGGAAGCGCGATGCTAAGAATGGCGTTGCCAGAAGGGGCTCCGTCGATTTGGAGTCGCGCGTGTTCGAACGATACCTCAGCACGGCTATCAGCACTGACGGTGAGGATGGCGAGAAGAAGTCAGGTGCAGGTGCATGAGCAAAGAAATGACACGAAGAAGCATGATTTCTTTCGAGCAATCTCTTTGAGAGCTCTTAATGTTTAGGGCCAGGCTTAGTCCTGGATAAGGCGTTTGAAGTTGCTTGCATAGCCCGCGATCGCAATACCTCTTGCCATCTTGGCTGCGATGAAAAGGCTGTTATAGTCATACAGCATGTACATAGTAATCTAGATACCACAACGAACTGAACAACGAATTTTTACCATCCATATCTACATTTTCACATCTGCCTGCATTTGATACTGACATTCAATTCGAGCTTCATGGTATCGCCATGGCAGCAGCACCCAACATGCACCTCGACGCGAGTCTACCTCCACATCCACACCACCCAAACTCTAATCCAAAGGAATTGCAGTCAGACCATCACGAGACGAGCGCAAACACAAGTCCACCTCGACACGAGTCCCGCACAGTCTTCAGGCGTCCTTCCCTCAAAGTCTGTTCGGAGGCTTGCGCAACACGCAGCCCGCCCGACCCACAATATCCCCACAGTCTGCCCACTCCGCCATGGCATGCCAAACCTTTCCGCTCCACTCACACCAAGACCGAGACAGTGCGTCCTGCCTCGGCGCCCAGACCGCACCAAGGATTTAGCGCGTTGGTGGAGTACGTCAGCCCAGGGATGCAGTCACTACAGTAGTCTTGGAAATGGCCTGAGCAGGCCGAAAAAAGGTTGTGCCGATGAGCGGGCTGGGGGATCGTGAGGCGGGCGCTGGCTGGGTAATGACAATGGGGAAGTGCAGGCTAGAGCTCTGTTGGAGATGAGAGAACTGTGCGAACAGCGATGTTGGGAACGATAGGCTTTATTGCTTGATCTTGCTTTTTCCCGTTTCCCGCTGTCCTTGTGTCTGCGCTCTGCATCATCGTTCGCTACCAACCCCGGTACCGCTGACGCTGCAAACCAGCCGTGGAAGCGTTCAGCCCAACCAACCCGACCAGTTTACACACATGCAACATCCTACAAGTCTATCGGACCGTGATAAGGATGGATAAGCTGCAGCTCGGCGTTTTTCAGCCGTCCCCATCACGCATCTAGAACGCCGAGCCAAGCTTCCTTGAGCGTAATCAAGAAGTGGCGAAAAAAGACGTGGCTGTGGAGGCTGAGCGCGTGGGTGCAGGTGTCATAGGAAGCGCGACAGCGCTCGGGTAAGTGGGCCTCCGGGGTAAGATGGGGGTTGCTAACAAGTGTTAAGAAGTGAGCGCTACGCACATCTTGTTTGTCGTGAGCTTGAAACCTTCTGTACGGCCGCGGAAACATCATTCATTACATCGAAATCACGACACGGACGGACGCATACGATAGACGCAAGGACGTGCGATTTGTACGCGCAATCGTCCTCGCTGGTTTTGCCGGTATACCCGCGCTGTTCTTCCGTCGTTCCCCCGTCATCGCAGATCCTACCACGCCTACGTTTGGCCTTTCCCCGCACCAAAAGTGTCGAGGTCGAGACGCATCCCTTCCCCCCCAGCTACCAAGCTTGAGCTGCGTTTCCCCCACACACGTCAGTCGAACCAAGCCAACGCTGCATTCCGCATTTTCGAAAGTTTGGAAACAACAATGCCTGCGGTTTCGAGCCACGGTTTTGTTCGCAGTCTGGAAGCGCGCGAATGGCGCGATACCGTTGGCCAGTCTGGGATGACGCCTACGGCGTTTAGTTTTTTGATTCCCGTGTTCGTTGTTGCTATTGTGGCGCCTTTGTAAGTTTTGTTCGGAATTCTACTTGGACTCTTGAAATGGATGGGGTTCTTGAGACTGGGATGGCTGGCGAAAGAATTGGGCTAATTGTCATTGATATAGTTTGTGTATATTCTGCATTCGGAGAAAAAGACAGGCTGTTCCTGTTCCGGTGCGCCGCCCACTGCCAAAGGCAAAGAAGCCTGCGCTCAGGCGCGCGGAAGCGAGGGAGAAGTTGAATGAAGTCACCGAGGTTGTCAGTCTTACTGGATCCTCATCATCGCAACATCGTGATGGCGCGGACGACGACAATGAGGGAGCGCTTGGGGCAGTAGAGACACGCTCGGTGCTCGAAAGAGAATGGTAAGTCTAGAAGATCCACCGTACCCATCCCAACTCTCAACTTACATCCTTCTCAGCGCGATATGTCTCTCAACCCTCCATGCCCCCGCCCCTCCCGAGCCCGCCAAACTCTCCCCAGAAACGCCCATAACCGATGCCGCGGCCCTACCCGCCTCGCTCCCCCAATCCACAGACCCCTCAGCACCACGACCATCATCGTCCGATCCCGCCGACCAAACACCCACCGCCACCACTCCCGACTCCGAAACCATCCTCAAGCTCCTCGTCTGCAGCCACGAATTCCACGCCGACTGTCTCGTCTCGTGGTTCGTCCTCCGCAAGACCAGCTGTCCGATATGCCGCTCCATGTACATGAGCAAAGAAGCACTCGATCAGCACGACGAGGAAGAGAGGATCGCGCTAGGCGGCGATGCGACGCCTGCGGCGTTGGAAGCGGGGACTGCGAATCAGACACCGGCGCCGCTGCCTATGAGTAATTGGCAGTACTTCTTGCATGGGAGTGGGATCAGGAGACAGCAGGCTGTTGAGGCGAGGACGAATGCTCAGGCTGAAGCGCAGACTCAAGCGCAGGCTCAGCCGGCGGTGGAGTTGCAGGATCGCGCGCCGCAGACAGGGGAGCAGACTGAGGATGCGAATGGTACTGTGGCTGCGGGTCCGGTGGATACGGCCGTGCAGCAGCCAGATCAGCCGTTTAGGTCAAGGTGGCAGAGAATTTTGAGGCGTTAAGCAGTACCTGATACAAGATGGTTTGATTGGAGTGATTGTATTTTCTCTTGAAGTTTTGTTATAAAAGCTTCAAGAAATAGTACAATCACTTCAATCGAACCATCTTGTATGACGACTTCGGCATGTTGAGATGGTTTTACGGTCATGGGTATGCATAGTAGAGCCTGTTTTCCTTTTCGAGATACCCACTGGACGCATCATGGCGTTTCTTACACGATTGAATGAAGACAATTATCATTATGCTTTTACTCTTTGTATGAGCGTCGTTCCAGGCTGAACACCTGGGCAGGTCTAGAGCCTAAATCAACGCTAGGTCACATATCTTGTATTCTGCCATGTTGATGTAGGCTGTAGGCCTGTTCGGCTTTTTTCTTGTTGCCCGCTCAAGACCCAAACCAGAAGTCATTCTCGCTCTGCGTTACCGGATCGAAAGAGCCGTTACCGGCCGTCACGAGACCCTCGAACTGTCCCCAGCTAGCGAAGTCGGACCAGTCGAGTAGATCGAACGAGAACGTTGGATTGGTCGCGTTGTTATTAGTGTTGTTGAATACCGCTGCGCTATCGGAGATGTCGATGTTACTGTTGTTGCTGCTGTACATCAAGGGTGGAAGATGCGCCGCAGGCGCGACGGAATCGGGGTTTGGCGTCGACATTGGTAACGAGAGGAGCGATGTGTCCTGGAAGCTGGTATTGTCGGCTACTGGCGTCGATAGTCTGCCTGACTGGCGTACTGCCTCAGTCCTGAGCTCTTCCAGTACAACACAGTAACGGTGCGCAAGGCAGTCAGTATCACTGACTGTCTCCAGTTGTCTTTGACATTTGACACCAGCCTCGAAATATCCCTCGCATTCTACTTTGGTCTTCACGCCCAGGCCCTGCTGAATGCGATGGATGTATAGCACTACCACCGCACAGAAGGCGTAGTACTGGGTGAACCAGAAAGAGCGGAAGAGGTTCGACGCCTTGAAAACGTCGTCTACCGAGCGTACAATTGACATGGCGGCCTCTAGGCATGCGGTGATGTTCGCCGATGCGTCATACGTTGTGCTAAGTCCGGCGCTCCAGTTAGGATGGGTGCCCATATGGGTCAGACTCGCGAAGTCTCGGAGTAAGAAGGGTCGATGGATAAGCAACAGCGCATGGTGATACGCCAGATTGAGCACCGAACGCTGACGCTGGTAGACCGGTATGAGCAGCTGGTTGTCGATGCGGTCTATCGAGGTCGAACCGGAGAGGAATCCTGACAGGGAATTCTTCCACGCGTGCAGTTCTGATGTATATTTCGACGACAGCTCGATGCGCAAGGCCAGACTGGGCGGGCGAATTGAGTAAAGGTCTCGTAGCACGAGAGACACGATGCGTGTCAACTTAATGTGCTCGACAGGGGCTGTCATTAAGGAATAAGTAAGCCGCGAGGGTAGGTTGATGTAGTTCGGTTGGAGATCGTTGTCGTTGACGATGGTAGGAAGCTCCTGGACCCATTGTGTTAGTGATCCCCAACTTTGATGACGCCAGATACACTTACTTGATCGATATCCTCGTCTTTGAAAGTCCGTGGACGACCTAGAGCAGCGGCGAGGTACTTGTCTAGTGAGTATGCCACCCAAAATAGGCGTCTTCGGCTCTCGATCTCCACATAGTCCACCTTGGTCGAAGGATCGCATTTCCTTCCACGATTCAAGCCGATAGCGAAGGCGAGATGCGAGAGTTCGCCGAAGAGACTCCAGCAGTGGTTGATACGGGATTGTGTCAGGAGGTAGAAACATTGCAGCAGTCGTGCCTGAACGCTCGCTAGTCTTACGGCGCCGCGTTCTTGCAATAGTTGCGCTTCGGCTGCGCGGAAGTATCGAGCGCTATTCGACATTAGCAGAGCCTACAACAGCGGCAGCGTCAACAAACCTGCTAGTCTGCACCGTACTGCCGAGTGGCATATACGCTTGAGCTTGCGCAAACACCACCATCAGCAGTGCGACTTTTGCTTTGCCATCTTCTTTACTTCTCATCTCGCCTTGGGTGTCATAGAACTCCTCGACAAGCTGTTCAATCGTTGGTCGATGAAGAAAGCGATGAGTCGGTGCTGCATAGTCGAAGTATCGCTCCACAAGCCTCTGCGCATCAGGCTTTGGTGGTGGGACGAAGATGGAAAGATCAAACTCAGGGAGGGGAGCGTCGCCAAAGGTGAAGATGGTAGAGTCATGCGACAAGGAGGAATTCGTGTGCAGACGCTTCTGAATACGGATGAGAAAAGACGCTGCGCTCGAGGAGCCAACATAGTGACCTTCTTGATCTCGTTGGGCTCCCTGAGGTACCGGAGAATCTCGCGAGGAAGGGCGATTGATCTGGTCTGTAGCCATGCCTAGAGCGTTTGATTCGGAGTTTTCAGGATTCGAATAACTCTGCGGGTCGATAGGAGTCAGAGGACTAGGATAGATGCGTGGGAACTGTGTTGTCGATATCGCAGTCTCTTCTTTCGCAGACGTCCCAGAGGCTAAGCTCTCTTTCCGTCTTGAGGCTAGTGCATCTGAGGCTATCGCGGGATCGTCGACAATGACAGAAGGCAGTCTTCCTCGAGTATACGACGCAGTAAACTCGCACGGCAACCCAGATCGCAGACAGAGCGCACAAGGGCATCTTCCGGTACATCTAACCTTTTTCCTGCTCTGAGCGTTAGCGCATCCATAGAATCTATGCAGCACCGCATGTGCGCCCAAATTTCCACAAGCTCACTTCTTACATCGGTCGCAAGCTCTACTGACCCTACTCCTCTCACGCTCCTCTCTCCTTCTCTTTGCAGGTGGTGATCTCGGTTCATCCGAACTTGCGCTTGCCGGGGTCACAGTCGTGACTGCTTCGATGCCGTTGGCGGGTGTCCATCTGGCAGTCGATGCATGCTTCGGCTCCACGTCGGCAGAAGCCGTTCGAGGAGGATTGTTCTCGTTCATGGCTGAAGCTTCGCGGTTCGTCGTTCTTGGCTCCTTGCTCAGGTTCAGGAAGTGGAGTCAGAAGTTAAGAGCTCGGATAAGAACATGATGAAGAGCCGGAAAAGCCGCACGCTAAACCCAAAAAGAGGAATCGCGCACGAGGCCTCCCAATGCCCGCAGAAATGTGATGCAATGCGCAGAATAGAAATAGCGGATGCTGCTTGTCGTTTTTATTCCACTCGTTTTTGTGCTACCTTTCGTAGTTATCCCAGCCACACCCTCTCGTTGCATGAATTCTTCACACGCAATGCCTGAGTGGCATCGCACCAGTTTCACCACACTATGTATGCGCCATCCTCATTCCTACATCGATCGACATCGCGCTTTCCCATTCTATTCCCTTGCCAGATCCAACACCAGATTCGTACCTCTACATCTGTCTCATTTCCCAAGCCAACTTAAACACACCGTGGCTTCTCTTGCGCACTACTCACTCATAAGCCCTAGGCGCAAACTCGACATCCAACTCCCTAATCGTATCCCAACAATGCCCCAGCACGACCTTCGCATGCGTCCTCTTCTGCAACCCCTTAATCATCTGATGACTCCTGACCCACGCATCGTGATCTCTCGCCAACCACCCCTGCGGCACGCCATCCGCATAATTCTCCTTGACATGATACTGATCACTCGTAAAGATCCACGTCCCACTCTCTTTCAAATTCACCTGCATGATGGTCAGTCCGGGGGTGTGTCCAGGTGCATGATGTAGATTGATTCCAGGGGCGATCTCGTAGTACGACCCGTGGAAGGGGACCCAGTTTATGTCGAAGGTGAGGTAGTGGGGAAGGTAGACCCCTAGATCTGTCTTGGTGGCGACGCTGTAAAAGGCGTGTTTGATTTCGAGTTCGTGGACGTAGACGGGTACGTCTCTTCCTTGGAAATGTTCTAAGCCACCAGAGTGATCGAGATGAAGGTGGCCTATTATAACCATCTTCACATCATTGATGCTGTGGCCGGTCAAGGCAATTTGCGCGTCTAGATTCTTAGACGCGTCGTGATCGATTCGGGTGAAGATGTCTTGGATTGGTGGACCGACGTCTTCGGGGTAGTTTTCCCCCGCGCCGGTCTCGTAGAGGATGAGGCCCTCGGTTGGGTGCTGGATAAGGATGCCAAGCATGACCAGTTTACGGCGTTTGTTGGTCGGGTTTGGGTTTGACGATGAGGACGCGTTTGCTGCTCGGATAAACCACCCGTCGTCACATTCTAATGTGCCCAGGTTCAAGACCTGATGTGTGTAATGTTAGGATGGCGTAGTTGGAATGGGGCCTGTGGAGTGATGTACCCATAGCTTGGTTCCCTGGTTTTGACTGTCAGTCGCATGTTATTCTCAGTTATTCGTGATTACATACACTGGGAGCTTGGTTGATCAGATCCAGAGAAGATGCCATGACGGATGACCTACCTAGACACGTCTGACGGGAAAATTCGTCTTTATGAACCCTTAAGCCAGCACTCTCTGTATAGGTACATATTCTGTGCCAATTGCGTACTGGTTTTTGCAGGTTCCCCACAGGTCAACATAGAATCACCATGACTGATTCGTGACGGGTATAAAAGCGATGAGGGGTAGCTAGATGTATGCCCCGCGGTTCATAGGTAAAGTGGGGCTTCTTTACACAGCCGGTTGGTCGTTTAGCATATCTGGGCAAATTAACGGAGTTGGTTGGTTGGGGTTGAGCAAGGTGTGCTCGCACTGAGACCCCGTTGCTGCGGCCGACGCAGATCCGTCTATGAGGATTGCGATTACCCGGGATCACGTATTGTTTACATCATGAGAACGCAATGTCTTGTGTTTGAGTCAGCCTTCAATCCCGCGGGACGTACGCGCGACTACGCAGAGGCCGTCAGTGGTCCGACTGAGGGCATACAGACTGACCATGGCCCATTAAACCATGAAGTCAAGCTCGCAGCCACGAATGTATGCTGGACAGTGGCGAGTGAAATAAGAAGATAGGAGGGATCAAGGGAATTTTGTACGGGAGTCGAAAGAACGAGTTACTGTGTCTACGATTGTTGACGCGGATGGAGGGTGTGAAAAGTAATGATCCTGGGGAAGACACGCATAGTTTGACGAGATGCCAATATAAGCTGAACATGTAACAAAGATTGGACGCACCCTGCGGACATCTCATCTGGTTCAAGAGGTAAGTGTTATATCTTACCGTCGGGCATGGTTTGGGATTGATCTTCTCGCCGAGTCCTCATCGAATCGTATGACGTCCCGAGAGTACACATGAAAAGCAGTTTGAGAGTTGTGACACTAGACCGCCGGGTAATACGAGAGATATTCGGAGGCTGACAAGTGCATGCGCAGGAACCTTCATTCACACTCCACGGCCACGACGCTCCCTCGGTCTCGTCAAGCGACTCTACTCCGTCCTCACGACGCAAACTGATGGTTCAGCTGGAGGTCGCGCTGGCGTAGCAACACGAATTTCCGTGTAGTGCCGTGAGTACGTCTCTCGGGGCCCAAGCTGAAGTACAAATACGCGCGATATGCCGTGAGACTTGTACGTTGACTGAGCCTGTGGTGGTTCGGACTGTAGTATAGAAGATATCAAATCTCAAAGCCACCTTCCTGTTGAAGCCACTGCGGTGAGACGACCCTTGGCGTGTCGGACGAGATTACACGTTGCGCGTTCGTCGGCGTGGTAAGCACGAGAATGGCGTAATTGCCTGTGCAACTCGGGGAAGGAGCGTGCTCTCCTGCCAGCTCTTTCTGTATCGATGAGGCTCTTGCCCGAGTTGAACTTCAGTCGTACGACAACTGAGACGATGTCAGTCCAGCTGGAGAATGACGTTGGGTTGGTCAGTCGCAATCCACTTGGGAACCATGACCGGAAGGTTTATTGACGCGTGGAACAGCGATCGTCGCCGGGTTTTGGATTTTGTGGGGTTTTCAGACGGTTCCATGATTCAGCGCGGGGCATCTTGCGCTGAAACGGGACCAAAGGGTTATCTACGCGTCAAGCGTCTACAGGAGCGACGAGGAGAGCAGTCCAATACGCTGGCGCGATGCGGTGAGTGGAACAAAGAAACATAGAGTGTGGTGGTTGAGGCAGCTGCGGGCCGGCCAGGTGAGCAGGCGTCACCCTCCCACCGGGCGCGCTGGGCAATCTCCGGTCGGCAAGAGGTCTGGAGAAGGCATGCGACCCACGACCAGTCGATAGCGACGCCCCTTTTCCCCAGAAAAGTCGAGCCATGCCAGGGTCCTTTTTTGATCTCAGTGTCGTCGCATACGTCTTTGCTTTTCAATTGCACCATCTGCCATAGCATTGACGCTGTTACGTTGCTCAAACATAGCCCGGGAATACCTTCGTCGCTGCACTCTGGACCGCAGTCGCAAGGTGCTGTCTCGCCCCAGCCCTTTCATTTCCCCTTCATTTCGCTTTGCAAGCCGCTATTCTCCCCGGGGACCAACTCTATGACCAGGACCAGCCTGCGCCTCACATGATGAGTGATGAGGCTGTGAATCCCGCTGGCCACGCCGCGGTGGAGACGTCCGAGGCCTCGAATCCGCTGTCGCTGGTGCCGTCCAATGTGCACAGCATCACGTCGACCAAGGGCCCCGCGTCTCGATCATGGCTCAGTGGTGTTCGCCGGCCACGCACTTCGCCAGGCCCTCGCGCGTTCTCCCTGAAGCGCACGCTACTGAGTGTAGACGACGACCGCAGAGACTCGGCCCTAGCACCGCCAAACGGCACTACTTGCAACGAGCCACCTTCACCGAGTAGCCTGCGCAAGACCCCCAGTCTGCCTGCTATTGTTGTGCAGGATGAACGCGCCTCAGGCACCAAGAGCCAGGCGTCACAGCGCCAGTCACTCGACGCCGGCGCAACGGGCGAAGACGACGCCAACTTCTCGGGTATTGACACGTACATCCCGACTGGCAGCTTCGACGACCTCTCCTCGGACGCGCAGATATCCTTTTCGAAGCGGGGCAGCATGATGTTGGGCGGCAAAAAGGCAAACAGGCGGAGTAAACAGATGGACCTCCTTGTGGAAGGCGCGCCTGCACCGAGCACACCACCGCGACAAAAGGAGCAGGCGCAACCCGACGAGTCACCCAAACCAGACCCCTCACCACCCGCTCCCGCTGCGACACACCTCTCACCGCGATCCACCTCACGCTACTCGACGCGAACTCGATCCGCCAGCCATCGGGTACTGTCGACCGACGAGATGACAATGTCGCGCAAGGTCCGCTGCATGTACATGCATGGCAATGAGAGTGCTGCCAATTGGGATACACCTGAAGCAGAGACGAGCAGTGTGCAGAACAGCTACTTGGGCAACAGCGGCGTTACCAACACTCCGGCTAACGGCTCGTCGGTGCTTGGAGAGGGCAACGAGGACACAAGCTCGCTGATCAGCTCACGGCACGGAAGCGTCATTGTCAAAGAGCCTACGGAGGCAGCCGGTGGACTCGAGGACTGGGCGGATCTTGAGGGCGGAGAAGTCGATCGCTATGGCTTCATCATACCCAAAAAGACCAAATCGAAAACCAACGGCGATGGCCCCGACGGCCCCGACGAACCCCGCATGCACAGAGTCACAACAACACTACAACTGCTATCCGAGGAGCCCAGGCGGCGGCGCCTAGGTCGGAGCGCATCAAGAGCACGCTCTGTAGACCCGCGTACAGGCTCACCCAAGCGGCGACTTTCGGGCAAGTCTTCTAGACCCGCCAGATCAATCTTCTCGGGTCGGACGTCAGACACGCACAGCAACCACAAACCCCTGCGACATGCGACGAACAGGCTACCTCACAATCGCGACCGCAGACTAAGAGACGAGGCGAGCGATATGCTCAAGCTGCCTCCGGGTTTGGCTGAGGTTGCGGAACAGGAAGAAGGAGGAAGAGCTGCCCAGGCAATGAAAGCGAAGGAAATCGAGCGTAACGAGAAATGGCGTAGGATGGCCAAGGTTGTCAAAGCGGGGGCAGATAAAGGGGGAATGCTATTCGAGTTCGATACCAAAGACCCCAAAGTTATATCTCGCACCTGGAAGGGCATCCCGGACCGCTGGAGGGCGACTGCATGGTATTCGTTTCTCGCTGCCAGCGCCAAAGCCGACGCGAACAGTCCGACGGAGGAAGAGCTGATCGAAAGTTTCTATGAGCTGCAACTGGAAAGTTCTGCAGAGGATGTGCAGATCGATGTAGACGTGCCGCGCACAATCAACAGACATATCATGTTCAGGCGGCGATACCGTGGAGGACAGAGACTACTGTTCCGCGTGCTCCACGCAATGTCACTTTACCTCCCCGAGACGGGCTACGTCCAAGGCATGGCGGCACTTACCGCAACGCTTCTTTGCTATTACGAGGAGGATAGAGCCTTCGTCATGCTAGTGCGGCTGTGGCAGCTCCGAGGCATGGAGAGGCTTTATGAAGCCGGTTTTGAGGGGCTCATGGACGCTCTAGATGACTTCGAGCAGAACTGGCTGCAGGGCGACGATGTCGCGAAGAAGCTAGTAAGTTACTACTGAAGAGGCTGACGTCCTGGCATACATGCTAACCAAACTGTTCAATAGATTGATCTTGGCATTACCTCCACCGCGTACGGTACCCGCTGGTATCTGACCCTGTTCAACTATTCGTTACCTTTCCCAGCTCAGCTACGCGTCTGGGACGTGTTTATGCTACTGGGCGACAAGTCTCATTCCAACTCGCCCAACTCCAAGTTTAGTGGAGACATGGATGTGCTACACGCGACCTCGGCTGCGCTCATTGATGCGACAAGAGAGATATTGCTCGACTCTGACTTTGAGAATGCGATGAAGGTGTTGACATCGTGGATTCCCATCAAAGACGAAGAGCTGTTGATGCGCGTAGCGAAGGCTGAATACAAGATGCGCAAGAAGCGAGCCAATGCCTAAGCGGTAGGCCGGCGCTTCGGATTCCTGGAACTTGACACCGACCCGATGGAAACGCGCGTGCCCTCGCAAGCGGCTGCATTGCAAGTTGGAGCGCGGACACTACCAAACACGGAACCACATCCACACGAATACTTTTCCTTCCACACCATTTCTAGAAGCCGGCAGTCGATCTTGCAAAGTGGTGGCTTGCGATGATTTTCCACCGGACACATGGCTACAACGTGGCTGGCACGTTTTCCAAGATTTGCGACATCATTGATGTTTGTTTTTTTCCGGCTATTCCAACTACACGTCCATGTTTTTACCCGCGACATATCACTTCCCCATTACCACTTGGGCGCCCATTAGCGGTGCAACGTGGACGACACCGCCATCAACGTGGTATGAGGAATGCTTGACTCGCTCACGTCTGAGCCACCTTTCTCCGAGGATGTTTCGGGACAGCGTCCCTTCGCCCGATGGTTGGGTCCTGTGTCGCGATGACTTCTTTTCTTTTGTTCATCTGAGG